GCACAACTTCCTCACCCATTTTGTATTTCGGGTAAGTAATATTGGTGTATCTTTTGCCATCCTTTGACACTTTGGTCATCCTATTGAGGTTTTCGTTAAAGTGCAAACTTGCAAGTATATGTCTACATTTTTAAAGAAGAAAATACTTGGTAAGTAAAAAGAAGTTGTTTCTTCGGAATTGTCCCAACCAAAAAAATGCTGTATTGGCCCCATTTTATAATGTTGTAATAAATCCCCCATTTTTATATTAGCATTTTTTWAAAGAAAYRACCACCCATCCCTACTGTGAACTGTCCCGCTCTCCAAGTACCAGCACCCTGTAAGGCAGAATGACACAATGTTTCTAATACATATACACCTAACTGCCAGGAGGTTGTCATACAGGAATATAACATTAGTAATTTAGTGAAAAAGGAATACATTAAAAGACAAAAGAAAAAGTTTAGCTTCAGTGATCTTCTTTTGTTTTTTAATATAATATTATTCCTAACCCACTAAATCACTAATGTTGTAAATTACTAATTTTCATGTGACAACGTTCTTGCAAGTAGGTGTATACAATTTACATATATATCATGGTATCAAAATTTTACCTGCAATATGTTCCAAGCCAAGAGAAACAAATCATCTTGGGATGCCATTGATTTAATGTGGAGTGGAACCCCTCCAAGCAACTAGTTTGTGCATCAGAGGAAAGCATTTTGATATCATTTAACATTCTTGTTTTGTTGAGTATTTCATGGAGTTTAACATATTCACGGGTACCTATGGGAATGAAATTAACAATTACTGTAATCAATCTGACAATTAATTATACTGACCCCCAMGCATGAATRTTATTTACGTAGCAGGATGTCTTGATAATGATAACAAACCTTCTTTTAGCCATTTGCGTGGTTCCAACCTGCCATGGTCACACTTAGTGTACAAGGGATCAGGATGTTTGTCATGCCTATTTGACACATGTCTCATGAAAGACTGCCACTTGGCTAGAATAAGCTGTTGATATCCTTCATTTGTTGAAGTAGCACACCAATAGACATGATTGCGAACTGCTTTTATCCACTGGCTTATTATCTCACATCCTTTTTCTTTACTTGCTTTAACCATTTTCTTTGTAAGTGCCTTTGCAATGTGCCATATGTCAAAGAAATGCCTTACTCCTTGATGAGAGGTCCTGATCCAGCTGGCTATCCCACGATGACGGTCAGAAATAAATTTGGATATTTTTACCTTAGGCAACAAAAATTTGAAGCATCTTTTCGCCCCTTCCAACTCCATAGCATTGCTGTTTTCTGTTTCATTAGCCTTCAAAACAGTTAAGATATCAAAGGGTAAAAACTGGATAATTTATAATACTACATGCATATTCATTTTAATTTTAATTTTTAATTTTTGTACCATTATAAAAATATTAAATAATGAAAATAATTTGATAAACACTGTGTGTTCACTGAAAATACTGAAATATGTATAGCTAGCATTTTTCAAAGGGACACACAAATTTGAAGAAAAGCCATTTTGTTTGTACCCTTTAAATTCTCACCGAAAAAGGTATATCCCCAACCCCTTGATTTTTTATGGCAAATTTTAGACCAGAGCCTGGTTGTATAAAGGCTGAGTGAGTATGTGTTGGTAAGTAGTTGGATACTTACTTATCTGTTGGATAGTTCTACACTCTTTGTAATATTAATTATCATAAATTAGCTGCGAAAGAAACATGAAAATATAGCACTATTACACCATACCTGTATCAATTCAAAGTGAACAATTTTTTTGATGGATGAACAAAACATGGTGTACACCCCAAACTTTGCCGAGTGACCCATAGAATCAAATCTGCCATCACCACACCAAGAGAGACAGTTCCATGACTTTAACCCTTCCGACATGTTGGTTGTATACACCTTCCAATGATGTAATAATGGAAAGAGAAACCAGTTTTGATGATAAAAGTCCTAGATCCATAGACTGTCAGTCCCATATGTTTAAATACAAGAAGAATCTTGCTGATGGAGGCACCAGCCATTAGTACAGCAAAACTCAGAAGTATATTCCCTGCTGGGTATTTACCCAGTACAAATGGCTGGCTCCTCCATTTAAAAGGGTTTCCTGTGCAATTTTGACAATGCTGGCTTACAGTAACCATTGTCCCATTTTTATCCATCGTAACTTTGGGATTGCTTTCCTTGCATTTGAAACAAAATAGGGAGAATAGTGTCAATAAAGCACTGTAGAACACRATGAATTTTGGTTCACTTTCATGTGAAGTTTCAGGGTCCACCCTAGAAAGAAGAAAAAATATAGCTAACACTTGTATCACAAGCATATCCTCCACTATTAAGATTTTTGACAAGGATAATGGACCTGTCAGAGAGTCGTTTATAGGGAGGGGTTGCAAACAAAGGAGGCTAGGAATTTTTATGCTCCACAAAGGATGGGGCATAGATAGGCAGATGAACATTTGTGGGAACAAATATCAAAGTGCACCAGCCTCCCCCACCTCCCCTACCTCCCCTATAAATAATGACCAGTCCCTAATTATCATTATTTTCCATAACTACCTTATGTTGTTTCGGGAACTGGGATTTTGGTCCTCATCATTCCATGCCGATGATTCATTTTCTGCTGCTTCATTTTCCAACACATCCCAATCTGGATCTTCTGGATCTTCATTATCACAGTAACTCCCTTCATCTTCTGAACTGTGTCCTAGTTCTTCTAGTTCGCTCTCGCTCTCAGATTGAGCGTCTTCCTTGGAGCATTCGTCTTCTAACTCGGTGCATACTCGAATATCCTGTCAAGGGTAAGTTACATTTACTTTTGCCTACACTAGGTAATATAGTTTAACTGTTTTTATCTATATCTATGATTTTTACCTGTTGAAGTCGTCTGTTTTGACGTCTTAGAGCACGAACTTCCAGTTTCATTTGGGCATTCCTTGTTTTGGCTTTTCTAAAAGTTCCTTGTAAGCGATTTAAACTAGCTTTTGACTCTTTACATGTCGGGCATACAAAATTTATATCATTTAAGTTATTAGTAGATTCTTCGGGCTCGATAGAATCCATCTTCGGAAACTCGTCAGGATTTGAGGTTGAAGGATTGGTTTCTTCAGTTGGCTGTTTAACAGAAGCTAGACTATTCACTATTTAGTCTTTCACAGAAATATTGCGAAGTATCTAAAATAAAAGTAATGATGTTTTGACAAATATTCTATAGGAGGGATTTCACGGCTAAAGTGATAAAAAGTCATTACCGAGTTTGTTGAAAACTTGCCTTTCGTCTTTCTCGTGCTGTTGGCATCGTAATTAATGGCGTACCCACCGTGTCGATTGAAGGAATTGCAGTTATTTTAAGCCATGGTTTGGTTCTAAAACTACTTGCATTGACAAGACTAATGTCCGGTGTTTGGACAAAACATTCAGCATGAAAGTGAACAGAGCATAGTACAGACGAATCACTTGGCTGCCAGCCGGGCCTGTGCTTTTGTACGAAACGAATCCACGCCAATCTCCTTTGATCTTTGGGAAATTTATGAAAAGAAACGTTTGGAGTACTAGCACTGTTTTTACAGCTTAGGTTACCCGGCCCACCAGCCACACAGTATCTTCCYCCACGCTTTTTTGACTCCGCCGACATCACTTACAGTGTAAGTAGAATATAAATATATCAACAGAGCCAAAGCGACGAGTCCTCACAGTGACGTCACAATGCTCGTATGGCCGCGCGACGGAGCCGGACAGTTTTTGGTGCAAATGACTGATTTTCGAAGGCGAAAAAAAATTAWTTAGTTACACTGAATTCCAAAAAAAATAGCATCACGATACTCGGAAAATGTTAAATTTTGTTGTTTTAAAATAACACGGAGGTCGAACATTTGGTTTCATAAACACTTTAAGCAGACCAAGCTTTGTCTTCAGGTTCCTCCCAAAAAGGAGCTGTGCGGGACTCTGTTCTGTGGTGGCATGGGGTGAAACACGGTAGGCCATGAGGAAGCGATCAAGTTTGTGCTGWAAGTCTCGACCAGTCAAGTCWGCCTTGACAGCGCGCTTGAAACTTTGAACCAAACGCTCAGCCATTCCGTTTGTAGAAGGGTGGTACGGTGCGCCCATGATATGGCGAATGCCGTTGGACTGTGCAAAACGTTTGAACACTTCGGAGGTAAATTGGGGCCCGTTATCTGACACGATTTGCTCTGGCAACCCCATTCGGGCTAGAAGYGTGCGCAACGTTGCCACTGTTTCCTCTGCAGTAGTGTTCTTCATTAAGAATATCTCCGGCCATTTGGTGCTTGCGTCCACCACGACCAGTAACATTCGGCCCTGAAAAGGGCCTGCAAAGTCTATGTGTAGACGTTGCCAGGGCGAGGCTGGATACTCCCAGCGATGCAATGGTGTCGGCGCGGGATTGTTCGCGACTTGTTGACATCCATCGCACTCCTTCACTGTCCTTTCTATGTCTCCGTCCATCTGTGGCCACCAAGCGTAGCTCCGGCCCAGCCCCTTCATCTTTACCATGCCAATGTGGCCTTCGTGTAGAATGTCGAGGACTCTGCTTCGCAGCTTAGGTGGAACTATGACTCGAGTACCCCACATTAGCACTCCGTTATGAACWACTATCTCTTCACTGCGTGATGCATATGGTGCGAGCTGTGTACAAGCTTCGTAGGAGTCCCACCCCTCCTCCACAAATCTGACCACACGAGCAAGATYAGGATCCCTTYGGGTTTCCCGTCTYAGGTCCCTTTCAGTGACTGGAAGGGTGTTTATTACAGTGGAGTAGAGGAAACTAACACTGTCCAAACGGTCCCTTGGGGCCGCTGGTGAAGGTAGTCGGGATAATCCGTCACAGTTTGCATGTTCCTTGGTTCCGCGATACCCAATCTCATATGAGAACRCGCCCAAAAACAGACACCATCGCTGAATTCGGGCTGCACTTGTCACTGGGACGGCTCTTTTTGGATCCATTAGGAACTTCAACGGTTGGTGATATGTAATCAACTTGAAGTGCTGTCCTTCTAGGTATGACCGGAACCTTTTTACACCCCAAATGATGCCAAGTGCCTCCTTCTCTATTTGGGAATATTTCTTTTCTGTTGGCGTGAAAGACCTTGAAGAGTAGGTTATTGGTCTTTCGCTTCCGTCGGGCAGCTTATGAGAGAGCACCGCCCCTAACCCATACGAAGAACTGTCATTGGCCAGGATCACTGGCAAGTCCAGGTCGAAATGGATAAGGACTCGATCTTCTGTCAGGATGTTCTTGACCGTTTGGAAGCTTTTTTCCTCCTTCTGCCCCCAGCTCCAATTCTGGTCTTTAGCCAACAGGCGGTGCAGGGGATTAAGATGAGTGGACAGGTCTGGCAAAAAACGAGCATAATACTGTACCATCCCCAGGAAAGAACGTAGTTGAGAGACATCCTGGGGCGCCGGCATATCAGTTATGGCTTTCACCTTCTTAGGGGACTGACGAAGGCCTTCTGCTGCAATGATATGTCCACAGTACTCTACGGAGTCCCTGAGGAAGGTGCATTTGTCTTTATTAGCCTTGAGTCCATTCTCTTCCAGCCTTGTCAGGACTTGGTCCATGGTCTCCAGGTGCTCTTCCTCGGTCTTGCCTGTTATGATTATGTCATCGATATAACATTGCACCCCGTTGAGACCTCGCAGCACCTGGTCCATTGCTCGCTGCCACAAAGCTGTTGCTGAGGCAATACCGTAGGGCATCCGCTGATACTGGTAGAGACCGCAGTGAGTGTTAATCGTGACGTATGGTTTGCTACCTTCGTCCACTTCCATCTGTAAATATGCTTGCTTCAAGTCAATCACAGAGAAGATCTTACCACCATTCAAACTCTCCCGTATATATCCTCGATACGGGGCAATGGGTACACATCAATTTCGAGAAAGGGGTTGACTGTTACCTTGAAGTCACCACAGACCCGGATACTACCATCTTTCTTGATGGGCGTGACAATAGGGGCTGCCTACTCACTGTGGGTAACCTCTTTCAAAATTCCTTGAGACTCTAGTCTTTCTAGCTCTTTATCAACAGCCGGCTTACGAGCTAAGGCAATAGGCCTTGGCTTCCAAAACTGAGGACGTGCCCCATCCTTCAGGGTAAACTTGGCTTTAATGTTCTTCAGACAACCCAAGTCGTCTGAGAACACAGTCTCATGGCGGTCTAGCACGCTTTGCAGTCCGCTTGCACGGACTTCCATCTTTAGCAGCCGCCAGTCTAGGGTAATCTCTCTTAAACACTCCCTACCCACTAGCGCCGGCCCACCTCCCTTTATTACATACAGGGGTAGCTTTTTCTTTTGGTCTTGATATGTCACCATTACGGTGCACTTGCCCAATGGTCTATCAGTTTCACCAGTATACGTGTGCAGCTGAAGAGTGGTATCTAACAGGGGAATATGTCCTAGGTATTCCCGGTAACTTTTTTCACTAATAACAGTAACAGCTGAACCTGTATCGATTTCCATACGAAATGGGGTTTTCTCCAGGGCTAAATCAACGCAAATGGGCTTCTCTTTTTGGCAGTGGTTAGATGGTTCAGATCTGAGGAGCTGCTYCCGTCATCACTACACTCTAGGGTTTTCACTGGGGTCCCCTTGGCAGTTAAAGCACGACACGCTCTCTTAATGTGTCCCACCTTTCCACAATGGTAACATTTTTCTTTTTTAAATTTACATGTCCTAGGGTCATGCTGCTCCCCACAACGACCGCATTTTTGTTCAGGCTGCTGAGTGTTGTGCTCTTGTTTGTTAGTCTCTTGTTTCTTTGGGATTCTACGCCTTTGCTTCCCCTTTGGCTTAACATCTTTCAAAACGTGGACCCTCGCGCTGACATTGGGTTCCACCTCCCCCTTAAGGGCATGCACATCCTTGTTAGCTTGCTCATGAGCTATGCACTTAGCTACTGCTCYGTCGAACGTCAAATCATCCAAGTTTTCTTTTAGCAAATCACGTAGCATTTTGTCATCGCGAATGCCTGATACCAATCGGTCTCGCAGGCGCTCATTTCGCATGGCATTACTGAACTTACACTCACTTGCTAGGTGCTTTAAAACAGCTACGTAATCTTTAACTGACTCACCGTCCCTTCTAGATCGGTTATCAAAGTCAAATCTTGCTACTAAGGCAGATTTTTCCGGCTTGACATGATTTTTAAGTCGCCCAACAATAACATCATACGTCGTACCTTCGTCGGTTGGTTTGGCGGTTATAAGTAAATCCTTTAATAACTGATACATCTGCGGCGACAAATTTGCCAGTAGAATTGCCTTCTTTGTCTTGGGGTCTTCTATTTTATTCGCAATTGAGTAGAAATCCATTTGTTCAGTGTAAGTTTCCCAGTCGGTACCCTTTTGATATTTCGCTATTTTGCCGTAGCAAAATGAACTCGCTGCACTAGGTGCTTCTCCGCCCGGCATTTCGACACAATAGCTGATTCGACGGCTTCTTCGCTGAGAACTTTTCCTTAGGACCTTCTCTCCCAAATTTAGGCTGATTTGGATCCCGTCCTCGTCGCCAATTTGTTGTATTTTAACCACAACAAGAAACAAGATGGCCACACTTATTCTGCTTTATTCTCCACGTGCAGTTATGCTAATGAATTACATACATGCATAATATACAGAAGTAAATCTCTCTAGTAAGCGGAAGTAATATCTTACACACTTCTTTTCTTTTTCCTTTCCTTTCCTTTGGCTAGTCTTGGCTTCTCCTTTATACGGCGCTCGTGCACTCTATTTATACCACTGGTTTCTGTGGCGCCCTTCTCTTTCTTCTTTGAGAGGAACATTGCTGCTAGTTAGTTCTCTACATTGTCACATTGCTGTGCCAGCTCTAATGTGCGTGTGCGTGTGAGTCCTGGGCCTTCTTCCAGCAATTTCCGGCGTAAATAATCTGTACTACACTTTTGTACTACAGTAAAACCCCTCTATACCGGACAGTGCTGGGACCGATAAAAATTTACCTCATCTCTGATGTGATTATCCGCGTCTTCACCATAACCACAATCTTGGGCCGCTCTCTTCGAATGAGTGACAAATTGGCCAACGGTCTCATTCTCTTCTTGTTTTAACTGACGGAATGCGTGTCTGGCCAGTGTTGAGTTTATCTGTGGGATAAAATAAGCGTTG